AAAAAGAAAGAAAGAAATTAGATATACTCCGTATAGGTGATCAAGGTCAAGGGAGCGTGATACCTAGACCAGCCCCATCGATAGGAAGTCAAGTGTAGTGGGGGTGTAGGGGGCCCGGACAGGGAGCCCCCTGCCCCACGTTTTCATTCCTCTGCTTCCACTTCTCAGGAGACTGCCTCCTGGACGCCCCCGCCTCGGCCCTGCCCCTCCCCACAGACCTCCCGGGCCGCAAGGCCCTCTACGAGCTGGACCAACAGTGTAAGCAGATCTTTGGGCCGGGCTTCCGCCACTGCCCCAACACCTCTGCACAGGACATCTGTGCCCAACTCTGGTGCCACACCGACAGTGCTGAGCCCCTCTGCCACACCAAGAATGGGAGCCTGCCCTGGGCTGATGGCACGCCTTGTGGGCCCGGGCACCTGTGCTGGGATGGCAGCTGTCTGCCTGAGGAGGAAGTGGAGAGGCCCAAGGTGAGGGAGACCCACTGGGGGTGGGGGGAGGGAGGGCAGAGGAAGATGTGGAGGGAGGGAGAGAGAAGGGGTGTGGGAGGGGGAGGGCTGTTCTCAAGGGGGACCACACTTGAGAGTCAAGAACTAAGAGACATTGGGCCAGGCTGCAACATATGACTCCTAAGTAAAATCACTCATCTTTTAATGAACACACCAAAGTATATCCCTTGGAGACTGTACTCATAGTTAGTGGAATGACGCTGCCATTGCTCTGGGCATTTGGGAACTCCCCCTTGGAGATGCTTGGAGTGACTGGATGGCATATGCATGTTGGTGAGAGGTGTGAGGACCAGAAGGTGGCACTCAATGATGGAAGCCATTACAAATTCCATTACAATAGGAACATTCCTTCAAGAATTGAGCAGAAAGTATTCATAGTCTACCCATGTTTGAACTGAATTCTTAATTAGAGGTAGGAGCATGAGAGTAATTGTGGGAATTTCATTCACAAAGAGGAGGAGGGGAGAAGAAATCACAGCCACCTCTGACCAGACAGAGAAAACTTGCAGGAAGAAAGAAGACAATGCTAGTGAGCATTTTTAAATGATCCACTTCTTTGCCCCACTTGTAGTACATCCAAACTGTGAGGCTGGTCACACTTCTCTTACCATGGGTCACGAGCCATCGCTATGAAACAGGGTCTGCTGAATTCGCAGCCTGGTGCCAGCCCAGAGTGGGTTCACCAGGGTGGCCCAGGCACTCCCCAGGGGCTGTCCTTCCCTGTGGGTCTTTTGTACTGAGCCTCAGGAGCCTGCTTGGGCTGGGCAAGCCGCTCACTCTTGTCCTAAGCCTGAGCCAGCACAGGGGTCATGCGTTCATCCGCAGCCACCTCCCATTCCCCCATGCCATGTGTTCTCTTCCCACCTTATTGAGGGGAGAGGCTCGTCCGCTGATCTCCAGAAGCAGAGCCAAGCTAAGTGCAGAGAGAGGTTGACATGAAATGACCATGGATGATGTTTATCTATTTTTAAGGAGAAAAGACAGATTATAAAATACTCTATGTAGAGTGACACTAATACCCTAAGTTTTGGTCACATTTTCACCTAGGTAAGAGCCTGACCAAAAGGGGAAAATTGTTAAATAAAATTATAGGTGGCCATTGTTTTAGACTGAATTCCTGCACTAGGCTCCAAAAGACCAAACTAAAAATCAGAATGGATTATCCCTGCTGTGTTCCACATCACCAAACCGAGTTGTGGTATGATCTAAGAAATCAGGGGGCCGGCCCGGTGGCGCACTGGATA